ATATATATATATGTGTGTGTGTGTGTATATATATATATATAAACATACCCATACCTACATCCATACATCCAGTTTGTCTCTTTAATGTTCAACTCTGAATTTCATGCAAAGTTAACTCGTTAAAGCAAACTAAAAATCATCAGCTGAGGATGAAAGAGGTTTTGATCAATATTAGATTATTTACTGGATCTGTACTTGAATGAAAAAGAAAATTACATGAGTGAACAACTTTATAGTCTCTTGCATTTATTCAAAGATTATTTGGTTGGAGACTAGGAAATATTGAGAGGAAACCTTCTGGTTAGCTACCATAACATACCTTAACAGCTACAAAGCTTCACTTTGTTAAGTTAACCCTTTGCAGGCTGACAAGTTTATCATGAAAATCTCATTAAAACAATATTTCCTTTTCCAGTTCGTTGTAGGAGCTGACGGATGCTGTGGAGTCGTGTGTGAACATTCGCCTTTCGAAGGGATTGTTCTTGTGCAGTGCACAGAGTATCTCCTTAAATATATGTAAGGAAGGGGGAAAAAAACCTTTGCTGATGTGTTGCAGGGATGAAATCTAAATAAGGATTTTCTGATTTCTGTGGTGTGATCCCACGTGATGTAAGGATTGGCAGCCCGTCGAAGCTGGTCAGAGCAGCGAGTGTGAGCGAACTGCCTGCACCTCGCAGACTCCGCTGGAAGTGCACTCCAGAGGTGCTGAAACTTATCGCTTCCTCCAACGAGAAACTTGAGAGGTGGGTGTTCAGTTTCAAATCTCTATAGGTGACGAAACAAATCACTCTTTAAGCCCAGATGGATCATCTTTTCTTGGCCAGACTGGTGAAAAATCTAGACATGAATGTCCACAAGTTCCTCGGCTACGGAAAAGAGTTCATCAAGAAGCAGAAAATGAGTCCGGATGCCTACATCCAAGTTGCACTGCAGCTGGCCTTCTACAAGTAAGAGAATAAAAACGAACCTGGTTATTCTGTTCATCAGATTCATTCTGGCTTCATGACTTGTGCACATTAAGGTGTCATGGCAGACCCGTGTCGACCTATGAGAGCGCTTCTATCCGCCGCTTTCGCCAAGGCAGAGTGGACAACATTCGCTCAGCCACACCTGAAGCCTTGGCTTTTGTCAAAGCGATGACCGACGAGAAGCTCGGCTCGAGTGTGAGATGGTTTATTACTGATTACTGGTGCTTGCACCAAGAACAGTGTAATGAGCTTTTTTTCTTCTTTCAACCTCTAGGCAACCCAATATTTAACATCTCTGTGTGATATCTGCAGGACACTGAGAAGATGGAGCTGTTACAAAGTGCCATAAACGCACAGACAAAATATACTATTCTGGTAAGTTGTTTTTTTTTTCATCTGGGGATTTATAAGCATGTTTTATTACTGAATAAGTTAAAAAAGAGTAAAAAAAATCAAATGTTTCATGTGTTTTTCAGGCAATCACAGGGAAGGCAATAGACAATCATCTTCTGGGACTACGGGAAATCGCACACGAACTGAAGATAGAGAAGCCAGAAATCTTCAAAGACGAGGCCTATCTGATCAGTAATCAGTTCATCCTCTCAACAAGTCAGGTAAATTTTAAAAACACAACATGGATTATGCCTATATTGTGTAAGACTGCTGTAAAACTTGATTTATTTAAGACTTTGTTAGGGAAGTCAAACATTAGGAGACATCTATTTGGGCAGCACTGAGTCCAAAGCTGAGGTTTCAAATGATATATTGTTTTGTAATGCACTGCATGTTATCAGGTTGTATTGCATTATATAGAGTATTATCTTATCAAATACAAAAACAACTATGTTTATCACAGTAAACTGTGAGTTTGTTTGGGTTTTTGTTGGTTTCTGGTTTTAAATGTTCAGTTCTGTTTCTTGAAAGCTTTAAAAAAACTTTTTGAATGTTTTATTTAAAGTATTACCTCCTTTGTTTTTTGTTCATTTATTTCCTGTTGTTAATCAGATATAGGTGTATTTGTCATTAACTGCTTTAGTAAAAATGCTTGTCATTGTCAGGTCTTTGCCATTCCTCTGCCTCTCCATGTGAACTTGTGTCTTTAAAACTAAATGTCCAAGTGGATGTGTCCACCTGCTGCATCCTTGGATCCTTGCATGCATCCACCAACACCATTTCCTCACAATTAAACTGTCTGTGGTGCAGAATTAAAGGATTACCTCTTTCTTCAGGTTCCGACCACTGTGGAGATGTTCTGCTGTTATGGACCAGTGGTTCCAAACGGATATGGTGCATGCTATAACCCTCAGTCAGATCATATAATCTTCTCAGTGTCCAGTTTCCATGAGAGTCCTCAGACGTGTTCATCAGAGTTTGTAAAATGCTTGGTGTGGGCTCTTCAGACCATGAGGGATCTGTGCAGTAAATGTAACAGTGGCTCAAATTCAGGCGAGCAAAAAAACGGTCCGAAGATGCAGACAAAGACACAACAGAGAGCACTGGACCCGGCTAAGGAAACCGTCCCACAGGTCCTGGTGAAGAGTCCAGAACAAACTAATGTGGATGCACAAACCCAGACCCCAACAAAAAGCAAGAACTTTAAAGAACGGAACTAAATTAGACAGCTGTCACTACAGTCACTATTGATTTTAAAATGCATATATCTGTGCTGCAGTGGTATATTTAAAAAAATTCAGAGTGTAACTGTGAAACAAAAAGTTGTGTGCAGGTATATTGTTGTAGGCCTCATTGTAAAATATATATAATGATATTCTAATTATTTAAATATAAAAATAATATTTTTATAGAGAGTTTTAAGGCTGTTGCTCCTCCAAAAAGCTGCAAATTCTCAACAGGAGATGAAACAACTTAATAAAATCTCTCTCTCTCTCTCTCTCTCTCTCTCTCTCTCTCTCTCTCTCTCTCTCTCTCTCTCTCTCTC